AGCCTGCTGTAAAACGTAGTAAAGGCGACAACTACAACCAGCATATTAGTCTTATTTTCCTTCTTTCCTTTGCTACTCTTCTTCATCTTTTTCTATGCACCCTGTGTTTTACGTTTCACATGATGGTTAGGGGGCTGTACTGATGAATTCCACCCCTAACCACAGCATTTGCTTTCTGCGTTTACAGTCGAGATGAAACACAAATAGACCAATTCCCACATATTTTTTATACATGACTTTTTTGTATGACAATGTGCTTTAACTACATTTTCAACCCTACTATCTCCCTCGTCCTTACATTACAAAAATCACGGCCCCCATTTTTCAAATTCAAGTTTTCGGCCTATCTATATTTTAAGGCTCATATCGGCCAACGCTTTATCATTTACGGTCCAACTTACTCCCCGCGTTATACATATAAACCAATTCCCGCTTCTATTACACATGTACGGTCTTCCACTGGCAGTATATCACTTATAGCCCCGTATAAGGGCTGGCAGGAAAACTGCTATTTCGGGGATCATGAATGCGAAGAAGCTGAAATTTTATGGTAATTCCCCTCCTCCCTCCCTATCCCGCCTCACCCAAGTACGACTCAAAACAAACCTAAATGCAGCTTTTCCCTGCGCCTCCGTACTACCTACGGTCCGTGAAAGTTCTGACGAAAAAGTTGTTATCTTAGGGACCAAGAAAGCCAACAGGCTGAAATTTTAGGGCTATGTGCCCTGCCGTACGACCCAAATAAGTTAACATTCAGCCTTTCCGTGTGCCTGGTATTACATGCCGTTCCGTAAAAGTTTTGATAGGAAAATTATCTCGGAAACCAAAAAAGCTAGGGACTGGAAATTTCAGAAGGATTTTCTCGGCCTGTGCAGGAGTCTCAGAAATTTAAACTTAACTCCCAAGTATGCCAAGGTCTTAGGTGCAACCACGTGAAAGTTGTGGCGCGGAATTCACTTTGAAGCCTGCAAACTAGGAGGTTGAAATTTTGGAAGGATGTCTGCCGTTCAGGTTTCCAAGCTCAGCTCTCACGTATGCTACCGTTTCATGTGACGACACATCAAATTTTTGAATGGGTAATTTCGCAGCTTAGGAACCGGACAAAATATTGACTATTTTTTCACAGACAAAACTGCAAAACAATGAAAACCCCTAGCAGGCAAACGTCCGCTGGATGGAACTGCGCAAAACATATGATCGCATCAGTTACCCTGATGTATGTAGCTATTTATTTTTGTATAAATGTTTTCTCCTAGTAAAATTTTTCATTTGGGAAGCCAAAAAACTTCCCATTTGCTTGGGAAAATTAATCGCTTTTTCAGCACGCTTCCAAATTATGTAAACGATAAATACTGCACCTCCTATGACAAGGAATTATGGAATAACGCAGCATATCTTCTTGATTTACTAAAAACATATGTCCACCGCTCATTCTCACGGAAAAGCAGTCTGAACGGAAATGAAGTCTGTATGATTTCTGATAATGAACTGATTTAGAGACCCATGAATAGGGTTTTCCAGAATTTTTATATATTTTAGCATAAAT